CAACAGGAGAAGAACGGGAGTGACCAACATGAAGATTGTGTCCATCATCATCAGGTAGCTACCTGTCTACCTGGACAGACAGGTAGCATGGAGGGCCAAGAGACAGGGGGGGAGGGAGGGCTGGGAAGAAGGAGCGGGGGGGGGGGGGAGGGCTGGGAAGAAGGAGCGGGGGGGGGGAGGGCTGTTAAGAAGGAGCGGGGGGGGGGGCTAGGAAGAAGGAGCAGGGGAGATGGGGAAGAAGACACAGAAGACATGGTAGATTGGGAAGGAAGGAAAGAAACACCAGATGGAGGACCCCCTTGGGTCAGAATGTAAAGGAGGTAGGAATGTAAAGGCGGTAGGCGTGTCCGGGTCTAAGGTCTGGAAACGGTTGTGAGACTGAGAATGGAGGGAAGGGCGAGAAGAGGTGGAATGCAGCACACGAGCATAAGATACACTAGCGAAAGAGAAGAGAGGGCGGACTTGGCGTCTCGCCTCAAAAAAAGACAAACGATCGCAGTACTTCAAATTGAGGATAGCTTCCTCAAATTTGTAGCGCGCACACGCGCGGGAGAAGGTAGGGTGGGCGTCACCACAATTGAGGCAGTGAGCCTGGGAAGAAGAGCACTCCGTCTTAGAGTGACCCCGAGTCCCTACACATGGAGCACAGACACAGAGCACTTGTGCATTTGAGGGCACCATGCCCAAACTTCCAGCACTTATTGCAAAGTCTAGGAGAGGGAATATACACCTGAACGTACCGTCTGATATCAGCAAGAATTATAGAAGGCGGAAGGGTTCTGCTATCAAAAGTGATCACATCTCGAAGAGGTTGATAACGATGACCCCGAGGGGATCGAGTGAACGTATCAACCTGGAGGACAGAATGGCCTTGGCTTCAAAGATATGTTTAATATCCTCGTGGCAGTCTTTCAGGTCCCTAACACCAGTCACAACATGATGCGGGAGGATAACAGTGCCAACACTGGCATTTAACGGGGCATTTTTGGAGACCTTAACAGGGGTCTCCCCAATACTGGACAATGCGGCTAAGTTGGTAGCTGCATCCCGAGAAGGAGCAATGACGACACGTGTACCAAAACAGGTGGGGTTAAAAGTAACAGAGGCATTCACTGAATCAACGAGATGTTTATGGGGGAAGAAATCGTCAGGAAGAGTAGAATCCAGATGTTTGAGATCAAAGCATTTAGTCCATGTAGCAGGACTGAACAGGGCGTGGAACGTATTTGCGTGGGAAGGAATCGTGTGAGATCGTCAGTGGGGGGGGGGGGGGGTCGTGGGTCGGTGCTCAGACCATCCAGTGAGGTGGGTGGGAGGTTAAAAGGGACAGTAGTCACAATGAGAGAGGCTTCCTGTTGAGGATCTTTGGGGTGTGGAGCTTTAGGTGTTTTATTCCCTTTGGCCCGGTGAATTTGCTGCCACATCTCTCCGAGAGAGGTGTGTTCATTCAGGTGTGAACACCATTCTAGCTACTTTTGTTCTTTTATTTGTCTGGTCTCTCGATGTACATGTTCCTTGACCTCACAAAGTAAGATCCTGTTGCGGTCACTTGGCTGCTTTTTGTATAGCTTTCTTGTTCTATTGAGTCTATGGTTGAGTTCTTTGACACGTTCGCAATAGTACCAATGATCTTTATGGTGTCCGGTGGACTGTTTTTTCAGTGGGATTGAGTGGTTGGCTGCACTTTGAATCGCTTTGACAAATTCTTGTTCTGCCTGATTAATGTCTTCGGGAAGATCATAGTTTCTTTGCCACTCTGAAATGAGGTTTTGAAATCGGTCCCAGTTTGCTAAAGCAAAGTTCCAGGCTTCAGATGGAGGCGGTGGTGGGGTGGGTAGGTCTAACTGAAGATCAATTTGGACCCCATAGTGGTCGCTTGTGAGTGTGGGCTCAACTGACCATGTTGCTGCATCTCTTAGGGAGGCTGAAACGAAGGTTAGGTCTAATCTGCCTCCTTGGATGTGGCAACCAGGTTTGCAGAGAGAGCAGCCAGCAATCAACTTCCACCAGATGTATTAGCAGTACAGACCGGACTAGAGGAAGAAAGGTGGCACAGAATCCTTACAGCATGTGAAGAAGTCTCTGACACTAATGCCCCCTTCACACTGGATGAGCTCAATCGGGCTAAGAAAAACTCCAAGGATACATCCCCTGGAGCCGACAAAATAACCTATAAAATGATTAGAAACCTCGGCCCAGAGGGAGACGCTGCATACCTAAGGTTAATTAATTTAGCCTGGACTTCTCAAACTAGACCTTCTGCTTGGAATAGAGCAGACATAGTGCCGATCCCAAAACCCAAAGATCCAGCTAATCCCAGGCCCATCTCTCTCCAAAGCTGTGCAGCCAAGACGGCTGACAGAATGGCACTCAACAGACTGGAGTGGAAAATGCCTAAACTGCACCATGATATGTATGCCTATAGAAGAGGGGTTGGCACAGTGGAATGTATTACAACTCTGTTAGCCCACTTGAATGACAGACCAGGAATGCTGATATTCCTGGACCTCGAAAAAGCCTTTGAACTGGCTAGCGCCCCAGCTATTCTCTGCTGCCTCATTGACAAAGAGGTCAGAGGCAACCTGCTCTCCTGGACCAAAAACTGTCTCATAAACAGAGAAGCAAGAGTAAAGCTTCATGCAAGAGTAAAGCTTCATGGCACAGTCTCTGAGTACAAAAGACATGAAAATGGTACACCGCAAGGAGGTATTCTTAGCCCTCTTCTCTTCAACTGTTTAATGGAAAGAATAATGAGGTTGAAACTCCCACATCACTGCAGGCTGCTAAACTACGCAGACGACTTTGTCATCATAAAAGGAAGGGATGCGGCGCGCCTTGCACCCAAATGCTTAGACTGCATCAGTAAAGAGGCAAAACAGATTGGGATCAAACTCAACCCCTCAAAGTCAAAGGCCATGCCCATAAAAATAGCGAAACCCAACATCCAACTCACAGTACAGGGTCAACCAATAGAATGGGTCGACACCTATCAGTATCTAGGAATCATCCTGGACACACACATGAATTTTAATGCTGAGGTCACATACTTGAGAGAGCGAACTGCGGCCCGGACGGCAATCCTCAGGTCGCTAACCTCCCTTTCTGGAGGAGCCAATCTGCAAGTCCTTCGCACATACTATGTACAGGCAGTCAGATCAGTGATCGATTATGCCGCACCTGCACTCACAAATCTATCACACCAACAGTGGAAAAAGCTTGAAGTTGCCCAAAACAATGCTATGAGAGCTGCACTGGGAGCCCCCATGTGGACCAGGCTTGAAACTCTTAGACTGGAGACGGGTTTGCCCTCTCTACAAGAAAGAATATCACAAAGGACAGCTACAATTATCAGTAAGATAATTATTTCTTCTGATCCAATCCCAGTACGGCAGGCTTTGGTGGTTGGACTAGGCCAAAACAATGGAAACTCTTGGGTTGCAAGAGCAGGAAAAGTCCTAAACAGACTACATTTAAAAAACATGATTCTTGATAGAGAGGGTGATCATCCACACCCAAATTACACTCCTTCCGCGCCGTGGGAAGAGCCTACTTTCAAAATAGTAATAGAAAGTCTCCCAATGAAAAAGGCTGCCTATGATCCGACAATCCTAAGGCGCATAATAGAAGAGCAAATGTATAGCATAGCAGTAGCAGGAGCCACCCACATCTTCACAGACGGATCGGTGGACACAGAAAATGAGAGTGCTGGCGCTGCTCTTTGCACGACCAGCGTTCAGGCATATTGGAGACTGGGAGGACTAGTATCATCAACCCAAACTGAGCTGTTCGCCATACAACAGGCATTCGCATATGTGATTGCACAAAACACTCAAAATGCAATCATACACACAGACTCAAAAGCTGCACTTCAAATACTAGGACAAAAACAGTGGAAAGATAATGTGGAAATAATTACCACCATTTTGTATCAAGGAGCAGTCGCTAAAGGCAAAGGACTCAACATAACTTTAAACTGGATCCCATCCCATATTGGAATCCCATTAAATGAAAAAGCTGATGAAATTGCTAAATTGGCAACTCGTCATCCAGTGATACATAAAACAATTCAACCCAGCCTAGAGAACAACCCAGCCTAGAGAACAACCCAGCCTAGAGAACAACCCAGCCTAGAGAACATAAAAAACATCATCACCAAAAAACTCTCACATCTCAACAAAGCCGACCTGCACCAGAGAATAGCTGAAGGTTCGCCATCTGCAACATGGTATCTTCAGGCAACCAAATTAGAAAGGTTAAATATCCCAGAAGGAATCCACAGGGAAATAGCAGTTAGGCTATATAGACTACGCCTAGGTTACAGATGCAACTGGGAGATTGGTGAACCCCGACAGAGAGAGTGCATCTTCTGCCAAACTGTCACAGAAAAGCCATTACTTCACTATCTTCTGGAATGTGAAGCAACCAGTGACCTTAGAAGAGCTTTAAGAGTTCCTGAATCATGCAGTGGCCACCCTGAAGCCATCAACACAGCCACTCTCCTGGTCAACAAAGGTGTCCAGCAGCTGGACACCCTCATAAAGACTGTGAAGCAGTATCCTCCCCCACGATAACAGCTTGATGGTTAAATGCAACCTCAGAACACTGGGGAAAAAAAAAATTGTACCACTTACGGGCTATTCATGCCCGTGCCACCTCTTGGGTGGCTTAATCTTTATCAATCAATCAATCAATGAGAGGGAGCCGCTCCAGGGAACGAGGTGGTCACCACTGGGGGGCTTGGGGCTCGACCCTACCACAGAGGAGGGAGGGGAGCAGAGGAGAGTAGACAGGAGGGTTAAAGGAGTAGCTTGGTCTGGACCCAATGTAGTGGGGGCTACAGAACCCGGTCTTCCATCACAGTCCAAGATGTGGCAACCCTCACATCAGTTGCCATTTCTGAGCTTCAGAGGTCAAGCCTTTAGTCTGGAATATATAATTCTCTCTATCTCTCTCGTATCTTATGAATGGAAGGTAATGTTCTCTCGTCTCACCTTGGCCAGTAACGAAGACGTGTAACGAAGCCACAAGCGTCAACAACACGTACTTCGTTAACCCCGACGCCAACAGCCTGGAGCTGGGCGCCTGTACGCTCACCATCAACCACCTTGACAACAACATCTGCCAGATGAGGTTCGACTTCATAACCCTCGACCTCTCCCAGCCGGATTCCAATGGTATCTGCACTGACGACTTCCTGACTGTAACCGGCGGAGTGTCCAGTGTTCCCATGATTTGCGGATACAACAGTGGTCAACACGGTGAGTAGATGCCCAGTGATCACTACTAACAGTGACCAACATAGCGATATTTTAGTTATCTTTTGTTCAAGTTTATCAACTTTAACAAAACCTACAAATTACAAATTACAAATTTGTAATGATAATCTTGATTTTGATTAAAATGAATTGCTATCAAAACCTGTCAGCACAAGCTGCTTGCACTTGCATGTTGCATCACACGATGAACCACTCGTGTATTGGAAGGCATTGTTATCTACAGTACGTTGCTGCATGACAATATTCTTAATGTCTCTGCTCAAGTGTGGTTATCACGTTTGCATTATTCATTGAGAAAGTGAGAGTAACTGTATGATTCCTCAAAGTTAACACGTATGATTAAAATATACTAATTAACTATTCCAAAAAATAAGACAAATATGGTTTCCTGTCATACATGACATACAGCTGGATGTATAATGTTTGTATAATCTCCACATCGGCTGATATTTACATTATACACAAGCGGCTTTATAAGTGTGATCAAGTTTACTGAGAAGGGGAGACATCTCCCGTCACGCAGGGTGCAGTCGCACCTCCACAGATCTCCAGTATCAGCTCCTGATACTGGTAATGGCTCAAAAGGGCCACCACTTACGGGCTATTCATGCCCGTGCCACCTTTTGGGTGGCACGGGCATGAATCAGTGAATCTTAATCTTCATCAATCAATCAAGTTTACTGAGAAGCCAGCCGACGTGCCCTTGTATCACCACTCACTGTTACAGTTTACTACGATGTGGACCCCAATGGTGGAGCCGTGAAGCTGACGGTAGACCGCTCGGCGCAGGCCTCTCTCCTCAAGACCTGGAACATTAAAGTCTCCCAGATCGCCTGTGACTCCAGGTTCCGAGGTGAGATCTCTTTATTTTATATCTTTACCTCAGTCTTAGTGCTTAAGTTTCCCCTCCATGAAAGATCTGTTCCATGAATCTGTTCCTCAACATATGCTAAACGACCGTCTAAAAGCCATCTCTTAATAAGAATGTCCCATAAGCTGGCGTGATACACTAACCATACTCCTGGTCTCTACTCTCCCGCCTGCCCCTACAGCGCCCGTGGGCTGCCTGCAGTACTACACGACCACCGCTGGCACAGTCAGCAGCTTCAACTTCCTCAATGCCAACACCGCTACTGGTCAGAGCAGTAAGTACAAATACTTACAACTTGCACTCCAAACCTCACTATATTATTGTCTCGTGCAACCCTGAAGTCGCGCCTCTTGTTGCCTTATCAGGGTCATATTCAGAGGCTTCACCCGTAAGAAATTACAAGTATCGATACACTTCCTGCTGGACTGTACAAGTGTACAGGACCTTAAACACTATTGTACGATTTTTATACAAATTTAAAAATATAATTATTCTGCCGTTCCTTGCTCCAGTGAATATATTTCCTTGACTTACTCTAATTTCGACCTCTGAACAAATTCATTTCTTGTCAAACACAACTCTGTTTATTAAGCTGAACAATGTCCTTCCCCCCCCCATTTACCTCTTTCTGTGCCACCTTTCCCCCCCAAGTTCACACAGTGTCACCCCTCTTCCTAGTTCACAGTGTCACCCCTCTTCCTAGTTCACACAGTGTCACCCCTCTTCCTAGTTCACACAGTGTCACCCCTCTTCCTAGTTCACACAGTGTCACCCCTCTTCCTAGTTCACACAGTGTCACCCCTCTTCCTAGTTCACACAGTGTCACCCCTCTTCCTAGTTCACACAGTGTCACCCCTCTTCCTAGTTCACACAGTGTCACTTTTCCCTAGTTGACCCTTCCTATCAAGGCGAGGTGTTGTGTGGCACTAAGGTGCTCATATCCCAGGAGAGCTGTTATGAATGCAGAGGTGATGAGGTAGCCTCGTGGGTACAATATCCAAGAGTGGCGTTGATTCAGCGTTGAATTGATGTGGCACTGGGAGATTGTGCTCGCTGGCTAGCCAGCCTTGGCAAACTTTGGGTGGATTACGATATGCTTAAAAACACTCGAGTACATAAAGCAATTACAAAGTTCCAGGTACCTCCTTCTCATATCGGAAATAGACAAGATCACAAACTATAGTACCATATTGCCCTTTGGAGATAACACTAGGATTTTTATGAGTAGACAACATAGACAGCAAAATCCCAAACTGATGTAAATCAGGTCTTTCAATGGGCCTCAAAAAATAATATGGTATTTATTGAAATATAAGTTCCAGCTCCTGCGCTACAGAAAAATGAAAATATAAAAACGGAAATCACGTACAAAAACGCCTTCAGATCAAACCATATAACGTAAAAGCAATGTTAAGTATTTGAGTGTAATCATGTCGGAAGACTTTACCTTTAAAGAACACAATAAAGTAACCGTCACAACTACAAGAAAAATGACAGGTTGGATGACAAGACCCTTTCACACTAGAGATGCTATACCGATGATGATACTTTTCAAGACGCTAGTGCTCTCTAGAGTGGAATACTGCTGCACAATGAGAGCCCCCTTCAGAAATTGCTGATCTGGAGAGCGTGCAGAGATCCTTTACTGCTAGAATCTACTCGGTAAAACATCTAAACTACTGGGACCGACTAAAGAGCCTAAATCTGTATTCTTTAGAGCACAGGCGGGAGAGATATAATAATTTACACGTGGAAAAAAGTAGAGGGGCTGGTCCCAAACCTGTACACAGAAATAACACCACACGAGACCAGAAGGCATGGCAGGATGTGCAGAATACCCCTGTTGAAGAGCAGAGGTGCAACAAGTACTCTGAGAGAGAACTATCAACATCAGAGGCCCGAGACTGTTCAACACGCTTCCACTACACATAAGGGACATAACTGGCCGACCCCTCACAGTGTTCAAGAGATAACTCAATGAACACCTCCAAAGAATACCTGATCAACCAGGCTCTGATTCATATGCCAGGCTGCAAGCATCTGCGTCCAACAGCCTGGTTGATCAGTCCAGCAACCAGAAAGCCTGGTCAGGGACCGGGCCACTTGCACGTTCAGCCCCGAAATCAACGTAAGGTAACCGGAAAGTAAGGTACCTCATACCGGCGCCTATAATGAATGGACATTTAAAACTGCAGTTTGAGTATGAGCCAGTTCTTGCTGGGAGAGTTTACAGATGGAGTGCTCAAGGTCGAGGGATTCGTCACCTGCACTAACTAGACAATTATAAGAACTTAATTGCCAAGTTAGTGGCAATTGTCCTGATACTGAAAATGGAAGTTGTAGTGAGTGAACTGGTGCTAGTGAGGAGCTATGTGGAGCTCTGAGGGCAGAGGTGGATTCCCTGAGGGAGGAGCTACGACAGATGGAGCTAGGACAGACGAAACAACGTCAAGAAGCTAATGAGGAACGCAGCAGTAGAAAGTTGTCCTGGAATGTCGTAAATGACAGGGGTCTTAAAAAGACTTTGAAGAGGCCGCCTACAGATATAAAAGACTTCCAACCCATTCGCCTTACTGGAGGACGAATGCTGTGTGGAGACGGTAGTTTCCTCGAAAGTCAAGACAACGAAGGAACGCAGGTCTCTCAAGGTATAGTTGCACTAATTATCTTTATGGACACACCAGAGTTAAGCGACTCAATAAATTATATAAATGCACCAGGTATCTCAAACCATACAATGCCAACAATTGTCAGACCCAACTATACACATGCAATAGGTGTAAAAGGGGTAAGCATCATGCAGCATTGTGCAAGTATATAAAATTAAAGTATTCAAACCCCAAGGTGAGAGATAGTAATCCCATCACAGTATAGTGCTGCAAGATGTGAGAAAATTTCCGTGTCCTAGCGACAACGTCTAATGTTAATGCGACTTTCCTACTGCCCAACTTCTCATCAAGATCAAAAGAACCAACGTCACCACTAATGGATTATTTGAACAAGAATCCCCAAAATATTTTTTCACACAAATTGGCAGATGAACCTAAACTAAAGCCACACATGTAAAATTCAATCTTTCAGGGTTCATGATAAAGAGAACCTAAAGACTACACAGTGGTCCTACAACTAGTAAGTACGCTTAGGGGGGGATATGTCCGACCTGTACAGGCCATAGTAGTCGACCAAATCCCATTTGACCTACATGTTCGTGGTCAAGGGAAAACGGCCAAATTTCTACAAGAAAAGGGAATCTGGCTGATAACAAAATAATCTCTGATCGCCTCACCGATGTAGGAATACTAGTAGGTGCAGACTATTATTACCAGTTCATTACTGGACAAACTAAACAAGAGGGAATGAGCCTGTTAAAGTCAACAGGAGGCAAGTTACTCACAGGTACAGTCTTAACCCTGAAGATTCAGGTGGTGTTCAGTCCCTGAGCCCATTCTGTGCTTCTGTAACCTCTCCCCCTGAGAGTCATTCTACCAGATTTGACCTTATTTAGAGGTCAAAGAGATGGACGTGGAAATATTATAATAATAATAATAATAATAATAATAATAATAATAATAATAAATATATATATATATATATATATATATATATATATATATATATATATATATATATATATATATATATATATATATATATATATATATATATATATATATATATATATATATATTTGTTAAACAATGGGTTAGATTTGACAAATGGTTTAAAAGTATGGCAGTAAGTAAGAATATAAATGAATGACTTGACATGAGATGTAGAGAATTTGCTGGAGGTGTGAGGCTCGCTTCCGAGGACGTTGACCTCACTTGAACTGAAGAAATTGTGAGGGGAGGTCGTGCTCCATTTGAGCCCCCGGTGAAGAAAAACCCCTGTTTGATATACCTTCAACAAGAAGGAAGTGGACGGACTTTTCGACAGTGGAATAAGTTTGTGGACATGTCGGCTCAAGTCGTTTACTGCAGGAAGAGTGGTAAAGCAGTACTGAAGCATTTTTCGTTGGGTAGCTTGTGAGGGCCCTGTCGAGCATCGGCCAGGAAGTGCCTTCGACTGAACAAATTCTGTAGTAAGCTCATTTTGACCAGTTAAGTGATTGCCTATAGGGAGTTGATGGAGTGTTTGCGAGTCATTGGCGTGCATGACGCAGTGGGAGGCGAGTGACTGACTATTTTTGGTATTGAGGAGTGTTTATACTGGTGTCTATAGTGTTACAGCCATAGGCTGGATTTCCTTGTGAACATTGATATGTGCTCTAGGGTTGATAATGCCTTATTGTATTACAAAATTTAACCCATTTGGGGAGGTTGGTAGCATAAGTGGTGAGCCAGGAGTTGGGTCACCACTTGATATAAGCAGCTGATAGAGTGCTAATGGTAGTGGATTGCAACCTGACTAAAATAACATAGTGTTGGAATCATTATTGTATCTTGTGTGTGTTGTGTATGTTCTCTGTATATTAAATGTTCATAACCAGCAGGTGTTTGCCCTTGTCCTAGTGAGGCCTCCCAGAAAGTAGGAGGGAGGGGGGGGGGGGGAAGAAAGAAAGAAAGAGACAGGGTGGTACAGAATTATAATTCAGAGAAAGGGGGATTGAGGAGGTCATACCAAATAAGGAGAGAGTGGGGAGTCACAGCGGCTCGCATTGGGTGAGAACAAGGCCTGTGTTGGAGCCGAACCCCCTAAATGCATGACCCTGAACCCCTCTCCAAGAGCAGGAAGCATACAGGGTGATCTCCTGACCGAAGTATAAGAACTATGGGTTTTGGTTGGTTGTACGGCAGGGACATACGTACTCGACCTACAACAACGTAATAATAAAAACAAATGTAAGAAAAAGACAAGTGAAGAAAAGGGCAAATCATTAACAGAACAGAACTATAAACTATATAAGCACAGGCTCGCACAAACAACACAGGAAGCACAACATACAAAAACACATAGGAAACAAAACAGTACAGTATATACAAGCCACAAACAAAAAACACAAAAGGGGTGAACCAAAACAAGGATCCAAAACATACATATAGCAGATAAGGCAACAAAAACAAAAATACAGGGAGTACACAATCAAGTACAAGGACTATACACATTTATCTTGGAACTCCTGTGCCGGAAAGCGCAGGCAGTAAGCCTCGGAAATCAGTAGTTCGTCATCGGTCACCTGACGACCAGGAGACGCACGAGGCCGAGGAATGAAATCCGGCACCTTATAGATAAACCCCTGTGCTCACGGCATCCAAATGGTAGAAGAGCACCACGGGATGGGACGCACCCAAACATCCAAAGTGAGTTCCAAATACCGAGTTCTACTGAGCACTTCCCTGAAGGCCGAGATCACAGAGAGGGGTCTCGCACAAGGGGGGAGGGGGGTCTTCCCCTCACCACACCATCGCACGGCGACATGTCTGGATCCACCAACGGGGGGAAGTCCTCCTCCCAAAATAGGTTTACGGGGGCAGCCGCCACACCAGCGCAGTTCGTCACAATGAAAACAAGTTCTGGGCTGCCCTGCATAAAAAGCATGCATGGTGTAGCCCATCAACGTAACAGTGGATGGGATAGGCGACTTGAGACGCAGGGCAAGGGTCCTGGTACTACAAGACCCACGCTACCTGCCGGGAGAGACGGAGTTCAACCTGAGGGAAACCACAGTCACAAATTTCCCAAAATAACGCCAAAGCAGGTCTTCTTTTAACTCAAAGGGGACGCCATGCAGCGCCACATATATGAGGGAGCAGCATCGGTCCGATACAGAGACGGTACAACCGTCACCAGGGAGGGTAAACGAACGCCCATCATAACGGGCCACGAAGTCTTGATAGACAGCTGGGGAGCAGAACTTGAGTGCTCGGTGGGTCGTTAGCAGCTGTATACCAAAGACATCAGACACTCAAACGCAGAGCATATAAACAGAATAATTTCCACAACAGGGTATGATGCACGGCCCGAAAACTCTAGGCCAATGGTCTCCGAATGGTGAATAGGGGAAAGGGGTGGGGGGGGGGGGGGTCCCCATAACACCAACTTATTAACAGCCGGTGGTCCGCGCCCCCAGTGCGAACACCTCAACAACCTAATCAACAATGAAAGAGGCACACAGCACACACCCTCACACGGCGACCTCTAGCAGCCGAAAACTATTACCAAGCTATACTACCTAACAGCTAAGCTGTGTATACTGTTGTACTAATCCATTTTAGCTGTAGACTAATATTGTTACCTACTATATTAATCAATTATTTGATTGATAGGCTATGAACATATACCCCCAAATTATGTGAGCAGGAAAAAACTAGCAGGATAATTTCAGAATATACAGTCCACTTTTAAATATACAGGTCACTTTGAACTGAAAATAATCAATTAAATAAAGTTAATAATTTAATACTTAAATAAATGCACGAGTAAATTCTGCGCTCCCATTATACCGATGCAACTAACCAATTTATATACGGCAAGCTAATGCTGTAACAGCCCCTTATGTATAGAGGGGCAGTGTTGAAATGTCTTGGCCCCTTAACGTTGATAGAATCTTCTCTTAACGTAGCTATTGCATCTCAGCTTTTCAATGGGGCTAATTTGCACTTCGTGACAAGCCACCTTTTCCCTCCTTTAGAGCCAGGTACCTTGTTTACTCCTGCATACAGTCACATCATCTGTTCTGTAGCTTCCACCTGCCGTTTACTAAGGGTGGTTGGTGTTCCACAGACAGGCAGCTGTCCAACCAGGACTACGGGATCTGCATCAGACGCTACGACAACTACTGCGGCATCACCTGGGAATCATACAGTGATGGTGGCAACTTTGGCTTCACTATCTCCGGACCAGCCGATGCAACTGTAATAGACATCATAGGTAAGACACAGACACACTCATTCAAGCCATTAAATATGAATGGGGTTTCTCAAGACCAAAATGCTGCTGTTAACAAGCGCTGGATGGTGTCCTAAGTACTACAGACACAAGGAACACACAGCATATGTGGTGTGGCAACACCACTACACACTCGCATCGCAAGCGAGAGCCTCCCCGCTGATGTGGCACAATGGGAAGAATAGAAGAGTCACAAACCGCAAGGATCTAGATTCGATTCCAGAAATCAAAAGTCTTTGAGCAACGCTTGTCTTCACCTGATGCTTCTGTCATTAGTAAATAGGTAACAGACGTTAGAAAAGTGTTGTGGATGACTTCGTGGTCAGATAGTTAGCACAGAGGGTCTTCAGTAAATTTAATAGACTTCCAGAAGACGACTATGGAAAACTATCTGGTGGCCGAGACCCTTGCTAAGGTAGAGAGACTGGACACCACTACTCCACTGTTAACCTTTGTCCATCCAACAGTATTTGGATGGACAAATACTCCCTTCGTGAAATACAGAATACAGCTAATACTTCCTTCGTGAAAATAAGATTGGATTAAAAAAATGAAGTATTTTAAACAAAGTGTTTTGATGAACAAAAATAAAAAGATTGAAAGAATTATTAGATTACGTTTTACCTTTCGATTATAAATAAAGCAAGCCTTCAACGTCCCATCAGAAACTGTCAGATAAAACTTTGTCACTTGTGTTATATCTTCCTCGAAAGAGCGCCAGTACTTACTCTAGACTCTGTACAGGTACCATTATCACGAGCAGCCGGGACAGTGACTGTACTACGGACTACGTGGTCATCCCCGGGGGGATGTACACCACTTCCTCCACCAGTACTGTTGTCACGCCCGCTGGAAGGTACTGCGGCCTCGGCTTCCCTCCCTCAGTTACTAGTAAGTAACCCCTTCCTCCATGTAGTAGGGTAGCGTGTGATTACAACCGTACATTTCTTGTTTTGAGGAGCGAGATTACGGAATTTTCACACCCTTTATCACACACTTTAATAGAAATCCCAAGTCCCCACTACATTCCTTGAGTACTAAATTCCCATAGAGTTTACTGGAGTTCCCACGTCTCTACAGTGCTCCTCGGGTATGCCTGAACTACGGGCTCACCATAACCCGTGCAACCTAGAACTTCTTGTTCCGGGTAGCGAATCTTAAATAAAAACAACGTAGGGTATGAAATTCCTTCAGAAGTTCCCATAGACTTTACCACAAAGTTTAATAGTTCCAAGTTCTCACTGGGATACCCAGTCGTCTCAGGGTAAGGTTTACATCTGCTAATTGTTTACCAAGATTCCCCATTAGGTGCAGCCCTGTCACGGTGTTCCCTCCTCAGTGAGGTTCCTCGTAGTCAAATTCCCAATTATAAGGACACAGCTGTAGGTCCCCAGCATGTAGGTAGACAGTCCATCCTTACATACAAAAATCCAAGCTCGTTAATCCAGTATCCAAACCGTTCCTGTTTATGAATGAAAAGCGGTTTACACACTACTGACAACTGATGACGTCTGAACATTTCCGAAGCAAGTACTTCACTCACGTTCTCTGTTCAAACCGCAATGCTATAAATGCTTCACCGACTTACTTCAAATACAAATAATTGCCAACATAACCTAAACATCTAACCTAACCTATCCTACGCCTAACTATACAAAGAATTTTTATGTACAATATTAATTTATGTATGAGAACAAATCAATTTTTAAAACACAGTATGTTAAAATTTATGAATTCATCTGGAGAGGACGGCCGCTGCTTTAACCAGCCTAGTGTGAGGACGGGTTGTCTGGGGAGGACGGCCGCTGCTTTAACCAGCGTAGTATGAGGACTGGTAGAGGTGGAATGTACTCCAACAAGACTATCTCCCGAATAGTGCTCACCGAGATCTCAATTGACCGGTTGTGTGCACCCTGAGAAAACTGATTTGTAGACATAATGAACGATTCAAAACCCATATGGGTACACGGGGCTCACACTCTTTTCCTCAAGTCTCCAGTAAACAGACACCATCTTTGAAAATACTTTAGACACCCCCGCCTGGGTGTGAATGCCTCTGTACTATCATAGCAACCATGGGTAGTGCATGAACCTGTAGCTCACAACACCGCCATGCAGCTTATGCCCACAGCATCACTTAATGATGACGAAACAGTAACATAGTAGACCGTGCCAGTGATAAAGCTTAGGTTTTGTTAGTAAAGCGAGGCAGACAGCCACAGCACACAGCCGTGGTTTGATGCCTCTAATGCATCGTACAACCGGAACATCATGTTCCTTTAGAAAATGTGTGTGGAAAATGATTCGTATTCATGATTTATTGACCAGGAATCTGATAACAGCAGTGTTGTGACTAGATTTGGTGTTATACGTTGTAAATTGAAGGCATGTAACTGCGTCAGGTGGCGTCGTCTGCTGGCGTCATCTGCTCGTATCATTAAACATTACATCCCCAATATATCCTGTCCTCCATATCGTGTTATATTTGACTATTCATTATAGTTCATCCACGTATATATCCCTCACCTAAGGTTGTCCCTCCCCCCTCCATTTATTTGCCCAATATAGGAACACTGATATTTATCAGCCCCCAGATAGTTTCAATGCTCCTCGCTGCACATGTTCCCTCTTAATTTATAACAAAAATGGGATCTTTTTATGCCATTCTATTTCTTCTATGCCTTGAACATTACTATGTCTCAAATTATAGAAAAGTTAGTTAGTTATATATTCAACAACCAATCCCCACTCAACAGTTTACCCCGATTCTCAATACCATTACACTCTGGCTGTCTGACCGGCCCCTCCCCTCAGGATAGTGATACAACAGTGGAATATTAAACAAGAACTGGCTGCTGCTCGACCCTCTTGGCCCCAGGTGCTTTGTGCGGTGTGACGATTCTGCCACACAACTATCCAAAAACCCTCGCCAGGCTGCTGGGTTAGGCTCTGGCTCTACTCTCTACGAAGCTTCCTCTAGACTGTATTTCTCACTGTCCCACTTCCCGCTCACACTTTACCTGTACAACTGATTGACTGATTGGCCTGGAGAGAGACCAGGTTGGTCAAGGCAGAGAGACAATTAGAAACAGAGATGGAAGGGAGAGAACGAAGAAAAGAGCGGGGAATGCTTTAAAGAGAAATGCAGCTCGGCGTTCTCCCTTCTCTTTGCCATCTCTCCCTCCCCGGGTTCCAATCACTTGGGTTGGACGGTAGAGCGACGGTCTCGCTTCATGCAGGTCGGCGCTCAATCCCCGACCGTCCAAGTGGTTGGGCACCATTCCTTCCCCCCTTCCCATCCCAAATCCTTTTCCTGACCCCTTCCAAGTGCTATATAGTCGTAATGGCTTGGCCGCTTTCCCCTGCTAGTTCCCTTCCCCTTCCTTTCCGGGGCGCTTTAGCAACATATTATACACTGGAAGTCGGACTTTTTGTTAACGTTAACAGTTTTCAACACCGGTTTTCACAAGATGATAATAGAGTTGTTTATGGTTTCAGGTCACAACCCGAATATTCATAATTGTAATTTATCTACTAGAATGAAATATGGACACAGTACAAGTATTACATATATTTTGTTATTTGCAATAAAACGATTTGTCATTTCATGTAACAGAATTTTAGTTCTCTCCGTAAATGGATCAATTTTTACACCGCACATAGAGTAATGTTCTCCTGTATGTTCTTGTCCACACACCTCATCTAGATACCTCTGCACAGTGGGAACAATATCCAAGAGTGACGTTGGTTCGTTCCAATTCGGCGCTGAATTTGCGTTACTCTTTGATGTTGTGGACACAAGGTACAGGGCACACACACACCACCCAGGAGCCAGATTCACAAAGCAGTTACGCAAGTACTTACGAACGTGTACATCTTTCCTCAATCTTTGTCGGCTTTGGTTACATTTATTAAACAGTTTACAAGCATGAAAACTTACAAATCAACTGTTGTTATTGTTATAAACAGCCTCCTGGTGCTTTGGAGCTCATTAACTATTTAATAATTGTAAACACAGGCGCCATAAATTGAGAAAAGATGTGCAGGTTCGTAAGTGCTTGCGTAACTGCTTCGTGAATCTTGCCCCTGGATCACATAACCCCAGGGGGCCTTAACCTCGGCTCTCTCATCCTCGCCCTGTTGGTCAGCTGTACTCCAACATGACCACAGCAGCCTGGCCTAACATTAACTTAGGCCAGGCTGCTGTGGTCAGTGTACTAACATTAACTTAGTACACTCTCTCTTATTGACATTATTATATTCTCCTGCTAGCAATATATTATAGTTATATATTAGTGTGTAATTATGTAATAGTTTCGTCATCCATTATAATAGTATTTATGATATTAATTGTCATGTCAGTTAAATGATACTCTCTAATATGGTTGTAATAATTACACTATATCCGTCCCTCCGCCAGCCACGTCCCAGCCCTTCGTCCTGTACGTGAAGACGGACGACAACGAGGCGGGAGACAGCGTAAACCGCGGCTTTAGTCTCAGATACCGACAGCTTAGTTACTGCACATAATTATTGTATATATTACTGCCATTGCTTCGACTGTCTTTACTGATAACTGATGTTAGTTTTGATGTCGCTGTAATAATAATAAAAAAAAAATATTTTTATTTTATTTAAAATTAACGAATAGTACAGCTTACACGATGATAAAATAAGGGAAACTATAAATAATTTACACAAGTCAGTAAAACAGTCCCCCTCACTCCGTCTGCACAACCCGTCATCTTAAAAATAAATTTTGGATTTTTTTTCTAAAACAGTAAGTTAAGGGTCCTCTGGTAGATTAGGAGAGCAGGAAATTATCCTAAAGTTTCAAAACGTCATGAAAAAACGTTAATTGAAAGTTTCCTCTCCTAACCTTACCGAGTAAGCCAGACGACTCAAACATAAAACGGGACAGTACATCACTTTTGTGAGTTTCGAGTGCCCCACCAACAAACTAATCACAAACAACCCTCATGCTCAGCTTGCTGCTAAATTAAGCACCGTAGAACACATTCACAATATACAAACTAAAAGCAACATTGCACAGATCACTCAACACAGCTACAGGGAGGGCAGGAAGTGCTGTTATTGCTTATCAGCCCGATGGCACAATTCAAAGGAATATAAGAATTAGTAACTGGGCATCACAATGCAAGCTAAGTTGGTAGCAATACTGGTAGCACTCGAAATTGACAACACTGAAGTAGACAGCTTAATTATTTCCGACTCCCTTTCCTCACTACTAGCAATAAACAGTTTGTAATCAGGTAATAACATGCTTGTCTCAGATGCCAGACAGATATATAAGAATACTTAGCAAGAGGGTAAATATAAAAATGTTGTGGATTCCTTCTCACATTGGCCTGCAGGATCATGACAAAGTTGACGCCCTTGCTAAGGACGCAGTAAATAAAGACAGTATTGAACGGAATCTTGAGTTATCAAATAGGTCCCTTAAAAGTGTCATTAGACGAGAACTCATGGATGGCTTTGAAGAAAGTAGAACAGTGCAAACTGGAACTAGCAGGTCCATTGTTCATCACAATGAAATGTGTGAAGTAAAACATGTGTATGGGGCAAGTAACAAAGTCAGTAGACTAACAGATGTTGTCACAACTCGAATAAGACTTGGCTACAAGTATCTCTGACAGTTCGGCTTGTATAGGGATCTAGATAAAGTAAAGTGTAAAGTGTGTGGACAAAAACAGGAACACACACTCGAACACTAAAATTGAGCCATTTAGAGATAAATCTAAGCTCACGCTGTATGATATGGCAACCTATCTTATTACTAAGGATAATATACCTGAAATCCTTGCACTGTATCCATAGTTTGCTTCCAGTAGATAAACGACATATGAGATTAAGAAACAAGTAGTGTATTGTGAAGACTAATAATAAACAGCAGCTTCCCTATGTCTCTGTAGTATCTCCGTTGCTCAAACAATTATGTATTAGCGATAAGACCTACATGTATGGATGACGACTTACTGTTAATACATAGCTCTTGAAATAGATCACTCTCTTTGACTAGCTGACATTGTAGTTATAAGGTGTGAAGGGTAGATGAAATTGTTTATGTAATAATTTAAGTTGATGTCTGATAAAGATCTTTTTTCCCCTCTGTAACGCTTTTTTTGCACTACCGCTCACAGGACGAGTATGGGGTGCAAAATAAACTTCCACTCACAGGATGAGTATGGGGTGCACAATAAACTTCCACTCACAGGATGAGTATGGGGTGCACAATAAACTTCCACTCACAGGATGAGTATGGGGTGCACAATAAAGTAGCCGCCTTCGGCGGCAACAGTTCAAAAAATTTCGTGAGCCGATTTCATTTCAAATTACGTCCATTTTTGGCCATACGGGCAAACGGCCAAATTCAGACGTAATATGTAAGAGGAGAGGTTGGGAGCAAGCAACGACTCTACACCCCATACAGTTTACCGTACACCTGCCTGTAAAAAATCAGTTTTAACTACAGAATATCCCTCCTGCCTGCCAATTCATACACGAAAAATGTAACCAGAGACCAGCGTAATTAAGGTATATTTAACCCTTGCATGTTGTGAGGCAAGATTAAACATTACAAACCTCAACAAATCCACATCCACACACAAAGATGTGCCACACAAAGCTGTAACAGTGCATAGACCTACACCACTGCAACTCCATGCTTACATAATGTAAATATAAACAAAAACATGCATTGTATTCTTAATCTCAGCACAATGGCTACACCTGTTGGTCCTAATGCCTAACATCAGTAACCAAATCACTTGTACGGAGTCTCAGGAATATACCGATACAGAAACTTGCCTCGAAGAAATATACTTTACAGGAATGTTCACCTATACTTCAGCCTAGTCAAAAAGAGGGTGCTCCGCCTCCACACAGGCAATCAGATCATCATACACACGTTTACAGAATATGTACAAATAACTTAACCCCCCCCCCAAAAAAAAACATTAACACAAGAAGAAAAAGGGGGAGGAATTTAGTTCAAGGTGACGTAGTCAGGCATACGTTTTAACTTCCACGTAATTTACAATAATAATGCCCCCATAAATTATCATCATCCCATCTACCGAAATTTAATACAGAACAGCCAGAGACTTACAGTACACATTTCCTATCCCTATCTCACTATTCTATTTACACATGCAGAGTGTCCTCAGAATCTGTTGGTTCCTGCCACACTATACATATCGAAAAATCGTCTTATTTAGAGATTTTCCTGGGAAACATAACTATGAGCAACATACACAAACTTTGGAAAGAATCTTGCTATTTAAATTCCAAGCCTTCTGAAAAAAGAGGCCTCCTACTCGACAACATTGACGTCGATACTAACATATTCCTCGTAAGCTCCTCCCACTTCGTCACCAGCGTCTCGATACGTTTTGCAGCAGATATTTCCTGGAGTTTTCACAAACAGTTACTTGAAACCACGAACCCGCCCCACAAGGATTTGGTGCACCAGCTACTATAAGCCCTATCATGTACGTCTTGTCCCCCTGTCAACAACAGCACCCGTCCCCGTCTCAAAGCTGTCCAACTCCTGTGCAGCTAACACCAAGGCCTACATTGAAGCAACAATCTTACAATCGTCAGCATGGCCAATAACAGGGATTGCCATGGCATTCTGAGTATGCGGCGGCACAATACAGTCATTGCTCTTGACCGCCAAGTATTTAGGCTCCTGAAAGACAACGAAGCACTGATCAGGGACACCCCTGACGAACAGACCGCTCAACCGCTGAAGGTTCACTCAAAATCCGGTTTACCCAAACACTGCTCCTACACTGACGATAAAACATTCAGATCCAGGGTATAAAACACGGGATTGGTTGGTGCCAAAACAACTATCCAAAACATTAAACAAACCAAATATTGACCCGGTCAAAGGTTTTGGACCCGTCTAAATTGTTTATTGACTAGGAAGCATTAGACTTAGAAATATAATACACGACGTCCCTTTTAACATTATTGCAAGTGAAGATCGACCTCCCTGGGAAGCCACAGAACTGTTCCCCTTCCCGCGACGCGAATTTATCCATAACTACCCAAAGCCTATTCGCCAACAACTTCGAAAAGATTAATCTTAAGTAAGCATCGAAAGCGGCTCCCAGTTTGTCAGAGCATACAAATTCCCCCGACTTCGACTTGAGCTTAATGATACGAAGGGATTCTGATATGCTAATTCATGTTGTATAATATACTGAAACACACTAGGACAATCCTTCTTTATCACCCCACACTTGAATAAATCAAACTCTGCTAACAATCCATCATAAGCAAGCGACCTGCTTTCGACAAACTATGAACCGCACTCCACACTTCCCTCTCATCAATTCCTTCCAACAAAGACAAATTATCATCACGGGACGAAATACGAGTACATTTAATAAGGAAACTGTCCTTCCTCCCAGTCACCAGCCACTCTCCCATACAATTTCTTACGTTCACCTCTAACTTGATAAAGAATACCATCCATTTTGTAATACCAGCCCCTTCATCAGTGCGGACACTGGTCCAAGATTCTAGAGGCGGACCATTACGTACCTCAAGTCCAGTGTCGAGTACTGGGATGTACAACTCTCTTGTACTCAGCACCGTACATCATTCAACTCTATTAGGGTACCATAATTTGGGATTATTCTTCTAAAGCGCTAAATAAAGTTTTAAATAGTTGTCCCACCTTGTGTATTCATGGTACCTGCCGACGTGATACCGGGTTTACCGTTATCTTGGCCCCATGACCTATAGTACCCTTAATTATCCGGTATCCTTCCCCCCCCCCCTTTCACCACCACCCTCGTTCAGTTCTCTATTAAGGTGTGTCAATACTAAAGGGTCCAGCGCTGCTCCCGTTATTCTGTATAGTAACCCTAAGTGGTTTCAGAATTATTCTAGGATCAGGTCAGGATCCTTATACCATTTATTCAGGACCACACCTGTCCCTGGGAGAATATTAACATGTCTTCACTTCTCTTCCGGTCCTCTCTCTGGTATCTCAGGATGGTGGCAGCTTCTCTGTGTTTGTGTTTTGAGAGTAGCAGCTATTATTTCTCCTCTATTCCCTGTTACAATCCCTCTCCTCCTCTCTTCTCCCACCACCTCTTTCAATTCTCTCCCCCCCCCTTCCCCAACTCTCCTCTCTCTCTTCCTCCAGTTGCCCACTTAGAGCTCAGATCTTGAGCTTTCATATGGCTTGGTTATATTAATAACATCTAGAGGTGTTACAATACTGATATTACAACACGTCGTGATGGCCGCAGTGGGGAACCCTGCGGGTAAAGTTCATAACAGGAAACTAAACTCTTCACAGTGGTGTATAGCTTGACGGAGTATTTGTTTATTAACGGAACTCCATATTAATATTGAGTGATTCGCCAATCTGAACAGTTTAGGGAGTGCAACCTGGTTCCCTTTTTTTTCAGAACCAATTATTCGCTTTAATCATAAGGTGTAGTGTGTTGAAACAGGATTCCTATTAATATCGAGCTGTGTAGCCCACTAGTGGCGTGGCAGAAAATTCAGATTTTCTGAATTTGTGTTTAGGTTTTTACAAAGGTGTCTGAAGATTGCCGGCTAATGTATTTTTGTCCCTGA